CAACGAGCATGTGAACTTGAGTAGATGGCTGAAAAGTAATTGTTGCGATTGGTTCCGTGCAAATAGTTGGAATATGGATAGAGAAAGTGCAAGCATGCGGCGGTGCTCATAGGCATCAGCCAGCAGCCATTCATCCATGAATCTACCCTTTCGGTGCTTTGTCGTGTCACAGCTGAATGAATCTATGAATGCTCATATTCGATTATCAAGCAGTGCCTCCAACCAAGGCAAGCGTCATCTGAACAGCACAGTACAAATTTGCTTATAAAACTCTCATATTATTGCATCGCTTATTACTACATCGTGTCTGCACCAGTTGATTTTCCGTCGTGAACCATACAGGGAAATTACCAGATCGAATGCTAGATTTGATCATTATTTGTCAAAACTTTTGCAATTTCGATGTCGTTGAACAAAAACATTTCTGATAGAAGAATGCACTTTATATTCGTTGTGACTAAAATGCTCTCTCATTTACACCATCAGTTACACCCTGACAGCTCCTGATCATCTCCTGAGGGTAATTTACTCCCTATGAGAAACATTGGCTTAGAATATAATTGCTTTTATCGCGTTTTTTTATGGCCACTTTGAACACAACTTTCCTACTGGTATTTTTTCTTTCTTAACGGTGTTTCGTATAGATTCTTTCTAAAGACATAGAGCACCACGGCCACTGAAGGCAAAACCAAAATCAGATGATCACTCTTCTGGGAGAGCATTCAAGAGAATTGCAATTTTTATTTTCGGTTAAGCTATGCTTCAAAGAATCTTCATCCAAGATGATGTGAAGGAAAATATTGTAACACGTCGGTTTTTCTGATGTATGCAAGAAGCTATCAGATCATTGCATTCGAAAAGCTGTGTATCCGTGATGACAGACGCATTGGGTAGATATGTTTTTCAAAATCCAATTCATAAGGAATGTGACAACTTGTGACGAAATATCATAGGATTCATGAATGATTCGCTTCATACCGCCCGCCCGTTGGTCAATCTTGCTAAGCAGTGTAAAACGTTACGTCTCATATGCACAAACAATTGGATCGAGCAAATATGCATTCATAAGATCATTTGTCAATTGTGTGAAACAGCAGAATGCTTGAGACAGCCCGAGAATATGAATCCTAAATCAAACTCGTTCAGTCACAGGCGCTACCGAAAAGGAAGGGGTCGCAGTAGGCTCGCGCTTCGTCTCTTACCTTGAAGTGAAAGAAAATTGAAAAAGAAAAGGGAACAAGTGAAAAAGGAGAACAATGATGGAAAAAGAAGAGGAAAAGAGAGGCGCAAAAGGCAATCAAACGAAAAATAGACGTAGAAAAATCCGTCCGAAAATTCAATTTCACTTCGAATTATGAAGAAACACTCGACCAATTTCACAATTGAGCACTAGGCCTAAAATTAAAACCGAGCCTTAGTTTAAGCTTGGCCTGCAACTTGGCTCAGTCAAAATTAAGAATATCGGTTTTGTAGATCAGTCCCGGCGTTTGGTAGATTACCTTCAGCATTCCAATAAATTGACCAGCCGCTAATATTTTGAGGAAAATCTTTGACAATCTATAATCCAGAAAATGCCTAAGTATATATATAT